CACATCGATTTTTCATATATTTTATATATTTATATATATGTATATATGAAAAATATATTAAAATGCATGTGGGTACTCAAATGAAAGCTCTTGATGAGTGTAACATCGGGATGAGCTTGTATCTGTAAAAACGTCAATATTTAAGAAAGTACAGGGCATTTTAACAAATATCTTGTGAACCATTGACAGTTTTAAAGATATAAGCTTATTCTGATGTTACACTCATCAAGACCTTTCATTTAAGTACCCACATAATTTTTTCATATATTTATATATATTATATATATGTATATATGAAAAATATATTAAAATGCATGTGGGTACTCAAATGAAAGCTCTTGATGAGTGTAACATCGGGATGAGCTTATATCTTTAAAACTGTCAATAATTAAGAAAGTACAATTCAATTTAATAAAAGTCATTATTTAATAAAGCAGAATTTTATTTATGTATAGTTCACAAATCATGGCAGTCACATAGTGACTGCAACGTTGCTAGTTAATTATTAATCCTTAGCAATAATATTAATTTTATTCTTTATACTTCATATTTTACATGTGTTAAATATTTGTAACCTCTATTGCGATTGTAAATATACAAAAAAAGCAATAAATATCTATCTATCTAATTTATTAATTAAAAACAATTAAAAAATACTAATAAAAAATAAAAATTTCCAGTTGACAACTGTTCGAAGATGCGGGTGCATGGAGCGTTATTTTTATATGGAAGTCGGGCGTTCAGCAGTGACCGGTGAAGGGGAGTACTGGATGAAAGTCGAAGACGCAAATATTGCTCTAAATATGCACACGGCAATATTAAACGCGATGAGCAGCAACGCGAGCAATCGCGACAAAGAGGATTCAGCGTCTCTGTCATCAAAGACACGAATGCGAAGTTTTTCGGCGAATGAAGCGAGCAAGCCGATATGTGTTCTAGGTGTTCGACGTCCCACTTCTAAGCTACACGGTTTTTCACCTTTGGGTAAGAATATTTCTTAGTAATTTTACTTATTCATTTATTCATTTATAAATATTCATTTATCAAAGAGGGCTAAATGTACGTTAAATAAAAAAATAGACGGTAAATGTTAGAATAGAATGTTAGAATAGTAACATACGTGGGTCGTGGGACTTTACAGAAGAGCAAACAGATCATGAGGATCCATCGGTACTTAATGGACATGTACTGGATAATAGAGAGCTGAATTCTGAATCAGCTACTGCTACTACATCAATCAGTTGTAGTCAATCACTGATTCACACGTCTGCAAATTTACTTACGGGTCTGTTTTCTATCACAGTAGTAGTTGTTTACTCCTCATCATTTTTATTTCTTCGTTATTTTTCGTATTTTTTAATTGTTTTCATCATCCATAATTTTTACTCTAAATATTTCATTAAAAATTTTAAATATTTATATGAAAAAAAGTAAACTTAATGTAGAAAGTTTAAAAGCCACAATTTATAATTTAATATCGAAAATATGATTAGTAGCTGTCACTATAATAAATAACGACTCTCTCATCTTAAAAATTACTGTTTCAAACAGTAAAAATTGCCGTTTCAATATATAGTCTATATTATGAGGAAGGAGAAGGTCTCACCCTCAGAGAATTTACCATTTGAAACAGTAAAAATTCTACTCTTAAAATATATATTTGTACTTCGTAAATATGGACGTTGCTTGTATAGAAAATTTACACAGAAAGAAAAATTTCTTGACTGGAGAACAAAATTCTTGGCTCAAGAAAATTTTTGGGTGCCTGAAGGAAGACCGAAGTTGTGTTGGTCGGAGTAAAAATTTTTCTTGAAATTCTTAATATTCTTGGTAGAAGTCATTTTTTCTTAATTCAAATTATCATAAATACTTGATACAATAAATTTTTATTTTTGATCAAGATTTTTAGACACTTTAGGGAAGCTGAGCCACCTACTTCAGCTGAAAAAAAAATTTTCTCATCTTGAAAAAAATTTTTTCTTGAATATTTTATACCCATTTTATATTATTTTAGCGTGCAATTATACATATTGGATGAAAAAAAATTATTCAATATTATTTGATATTTCCATTTGACATGTTAATCAATAAAAATATTAATGAAAATTTACTTCTATCGAGATATTTAATTTTTTGGAGCAAGAGAGAAATTTTCTCAAGACAAGAAAATTAACTTCTATCAAGAACTAAATTTTTTGGCGCAAGAGTTTAAATTTTCTCAAAACAAGATTTTTTTGACTTAAATAAATTTTCTTAGATCAAGATACGTATTTCTAAAAGCAAGAGAATTAATTTTGTTGGAATAAGTGAAATTTCTTGTGTTAAAAAAAATTTTTTTTACACTCAAGAAAATAATTAGGAAGAAAAATATTTTCTTCTATGTAAATAATAAATTGTAGCATTTAAATGATAAATATTATAAAGTGATTGTGAAAATCACGATTTACTGTTTGAAATAATAATTTTTTCCAGTTGATCATTACTTACTATAAATCGACTATTATTCATTACAGTTTACTTTTTTTCGTGTAAGAATTGTTACAAAAAAAAAATCAAAACCCTGGATGATAAAAATAAAAAAAAAAAAAATACTGGCAATAAAAAAAAATAAATTCATGAATCTTCATTGATCATTGTAAAAAAAATGCTTATGGGTTTGCTGAGCTTAAATACATGTTACGAGAGCATGGCTAAAGTGGCGATAATTAGGGCCAGGCTGTAGGACTAATGGATTAAGACTAGGGGCTTGTAAATAAAAAAAAACATTGGGCGAAATGGGTTTGCAGTTGGTGCAGGAACTAGAAGCCTTGGGACTTATACGATCGGTGGTTCAGCTACCAAAAGACGTCATTCATTAGCGACCCAGTCGATCTGTACCAATAAATCCCAATCCATAATCACAGATGTTGCATCACCAATATCATCTCCAACATCAACAACTACTTGTACATCATCAACAACAATCAACACAAACTCTACGACAAAATCCCATCAGAGAACCCTGTCGCTGCCCTTAGCCGCTGTTATCAATCAAACGCAATCATCCAAAAGACCCGTATTACGCTGTATGTATTTTATTTAACAACTCACTTCTCCTCCCTTCCTGTCCCCTACATTTTCCTCCTATGTTCTGCACATTTTAACACGCTTATCATTTTTCAATGTATCAAGTATTTATATTTAACTGTATATATCGATCTATCTTAATTAACATGTATTAGAATTAGTGGTGTCGAGTGTTATTTTTACAAACAATTGATGCTCTTTCAATAATTATTACTCATTTTTTAGTTAAAGGTGATTCCTGTACTATTCCTGGAGAAATTTATTATGTGAAAATAATTTTATGCTCATTTGTATGCCTTGAATTTTTTTTTAAAGAAAAAATTTTTTTATCTTTAAATAATTTCATCGATTTTCAAAAATGAAATTTATTAAGGGATCATTCTGGTTCCGGCGCTCAAAAAAAAGTAAATATTGATTATTTTTTTTTTACACAGAAGCTATTATAGATATTAATAGAAAAATTTATTCAGCTCACCACACACTCTTGAATAACACAAAAAATATCTAACTATTTTTTATATGATTATGAATAATCTACGGGTGAACGGAGATCCTCCAAACGTTGGTATGTCGCTGACGTAAATGAAAACTTGATAACGGCTTATCTAATACACAAAAACCAAAATTATTTACATTCAATATATAAGTAGTTATTGCACCAGCTACGGAGACTAATATTTATTGATAAAAAACAAAACGGCTCAGATTAAAAAAAAAAAAAAAAAAAACTGAAAAATGAGATTTTTTTCACAGTTTTGAGTCCAAAAAAATAGTAAAAATCAAAATCCACATACATCTCGTAAAATAATATATTTACAGTGAGCCGATCACTTAAAAATTTCAACACAATATTTTTATATAAGGTAAAAGCCCCAATATATGATCATGTACCAGTATATGATCATTCCATGTATTTGTATATCTATATTCACAAATATAGGTATACAAATACATGGAGTGATCATATACTGGTACATGATCATATATTAGGGCTTTTACTTTATATGTACTTTTGAAATATGTAAAAAAAATTTTTTTTCAAAAGTTACAATCCAGAACGATCCCTTAAATTGTTTATTTTGATAAAAAAATTTGATCATCACAGGAATATAAATTATTTTATTACAAAATTTTTAACAATATCTCTAACTTTTTGACACTAAAATTAGCAGACACTAGATAATTTTTTTATTTTTGTTTAAAAATAAACCAGGTCTAAAAAATTGTCTTTACAATTTTGGTAAATATTTACAAGTGAGGTCAACGATTTTAATTTTCATTTTTTTGAACGAAATTTCTATTTGATTTCATTCATATATTTTTTTTTAATAATAGATAAAAAAATAAACAATTAAAAAAAAAAACTTGATTATCACAATTTGAACAAATTTTCAAAAAAATTTATAAATTTTTTAGAAAATTGTGATATTCAACTTTTTTTTTTTCAAGTTCGTTTTTTTTTATGTAATTAAAAAAAAAATATATATTAAAAACATCAAAAAAAGATAAAATAGAAATTTTATCCAAAATTATGAGAGCCAAAATTTTTTCCAACTTTCAATGATGATTTTTTAATTGAAATATTATTTTTTTGATATTTTCGCTATCACCACCATAAATCCGCCGTAAAAACAAAAAAGTAAAAAAAAAAAAAATTATGATGATCCATCAATTTATCCACTGATAAAAAAATTAACTTGACTCAAGAGTCAAAATCTTGAACCAAGAATACCATTTTGAAGAAAATGATTTTCTTAAGTCAAGAGAATAAATTCTTGAGTCACTTGTAAATAATTACCACAATTTTTATAGTTTTCTAAAAATAGAATTTTTTAAATATATTTTTCTTAATCTAATTTATTTATTAAAAAAATTAAAAAAATCATCAGAAATGTCTCAATTTCAGTATCCTAAAATTAAAAAAAATTTCATCAATTGTTAGTAAATTTTAAACTTCGCATCACTAAATTGGGATGCTTAAATAAAAACTATCTTCAAAAACAGGAAAAAAAAAAAATTTTTTTTTCCTCCCTTAAAAAAATTACAATCCAACTGACTGACCAAAAAATTGATTACAGGTACAGGTCGTGACCGTTGCGACAGTCTTCCATCGCGAGCACGGACCACCAGCGAAGGGCTCCCAACACCTCTGCTACCTCACCCGCGAACGAGCCACCTGACGCCTCACTCGACGCGTCCTCACTCAATGTACACCCGGGGTCTATCTTACTCGCCGCCAGTGTCATCAATGCCGATAAGCCCGGCGTCTAACGCGTGTTCCACGGATTCCGCTGGTTCCTCTCTATCAATGGACGACCAGACGGACATCATGGACGAGAGCGTGGCTGCGGGTCGGTACGGCCACTCTTTGACCCCTGACGAGCCGGTGATCCTCGAGGAGAACATGGACGACTACGCTCATTGGTCAACGAGTTCCCACTTGCAGCAAAAGTACTCGCCTAACTTCAAGTCCCACTCCTCATCCCAGCAGAGTTCCTACGTGGAGATGTACAGCCCCTGCGGATCCAGTCCCGGTCGTGGAACTTTGGGACCCGGTCAAGGAGGAGTCCAGAACAACCTTCCCAGGAACGGTCCCAATTCCGGGATCTACTGTCCCAATTCCGGAGCGTATTTGCCGATGAGTCCAGGAACGGCAGTCCATAGTCACTCTCACTCGCGAGCTTCGTCATTAATCGAAGAAGCGACGCTGCCTGACGGCTACGTCCCCATGGCTCCGGTTGGCGATGACGAGTACGTCGACATGGACCCCGCGAACCAAAATGGACACTCATACCACGACGATATGATGTCCCAGCACGGAAGCAGCTGCTCGGTAACTTCTGGAACGCCTAGCACTGACCTGCGCTTCAGCGAGTACCCGCTGGACAAAGTTGCCAGTTATCTAACTCCTTCTGAGGAGGATCCGACGAGACCAACGCGTGCCTACTCGGTGGGTTCCAGACCCGACCCAGCGAATCGTCACCGTAAAAACCGCATCGACATCGCGGTCCAAGAAGCTAATCGCGTACGTGCCTTCAGTGTCGGAAGTCGCTCAAAGCGCCCGGAACTGGGTCGTCTTGCGGCGAATGTTCACGCACGTCTCCCTACTACTGACGGTACTGGGAACTCAAAGTCTAATTCCGCGCCATTGCTGTCAAGCTCTTGGGGCCACGCTTCAGGGTGCTCTGTTAATTTAGACAGAATGGAAGATCTGATGGAAATGGACTTTTCAAGGAATGTACCGCCTACGACGTTATCGTCAACACCATCTTCGTGCTCACATTCGCACTCTCACTCGCATTCTTATTCCACTGCCACTGATAACAGCTCGTACATGGACATGTCGCCAGGACAACCTCATCCGTCGGTTAATGCTCCTTATGTTGATATGAGCGGTATCAGCAAGGTAAATTTTTTGTTTTTTATTTTTATTTTTATTTATTTTTAGTTATCGGTTTTGCACACCTTGAATAGTATGAGTATATGCCGGATGTTGTATCGTTATACGTCACGTCTGTGACTATTTTATTCGATTGTTGATTGGTCGACAATAATGGCGGAATTTTGAAATGAATCAAGGCGAGCGAAGGGAGCACGATATGTCTAGTAAGGCTAAAGACCCAGTTATTGACACTTGCAATTTTATTTAAATTAAATAAAACAAATCGACTCTAATAAATTAATGAATATAATTTTTTAATTATAAATTTTAAGATAATTAAGGCCAGTGTCAATAACTGGGTCTTTTACCTTAGAAAGATTTTTTGAAGTTGTTGAGATTAAGGGGCTTGAAAAAAAAGTTTTTGTAACTTTCTTGGGGCCACTGAAAAAAATTACATAGGAAAATTATATAAACTAGAAATTTGAATAGCGCGCTACGCGCGCGCCTAAATTTTAACCAATAATGAATCGTGGCCCATTTTTTTGCGAGTTTCGACCTTTCACTAACTTCAAGACTATCATGTATTTTAATTTAAAGGATAGGGGTGTAAAATTGAAATTTTTTAATAATGAAATATTTACAAAGGAAAACGATTGAATACAAGTGTGAAAATGAAAGATATGCATGGTTGTTTTATTTTTTAATTTTTACGAAAAATATATTGTCATTTTTTTATTTTTTTTACTGTCACTCTAAATAAAACTTTTTATGATCAATTTATTAGTTTTCATAAAAATGAAAAAAAATTTTAAATATTCTTTTAAAATAATTTTAAATTTCAACATTAACAAATGGTCTAGATAAATAATTCATTACACTATTAAAAGAGAAAAATATGAATTTAATTATTATAGAAAGAGAATTTATTTAAAGTTTTTAGTCGAAAGATAAACATTATCTTTTGACTTTAAATTTTAAAAAATTACAAAATTTTTATAGAAATTTTCATTGAGAACTCAATTTGATAAAAATTTTAAAATCAGGGAAATTTTCTATCATACTATTTATTGGTTTTTTAAATGAAAAAATGGTAAAATTTTCAAAAATTTGTGTTCGATACGATTGACTCAATAAGAAATTCAAAAAAAAAAAAAAATCATGGATACCTTTTTTTAATAGGTTTAAAAAAAAAGTTAAATAGCAGCAGAATGTGAACTTCAAAAATTGTCAATAGAATATAAATTTAATTAATTTGACATAGAAAAAAATTACCTAGAAAGATTAAGTAAATGGTGTTGTAAAAATGAAATTTTTTAATCATAAAATATTAACAAAGAAAAACTGTTAAATTTACAACTGTTAAGTTTCCTTGTTTTGCCCCGCTATCCTCTTTTGCCCTCCCCCTTTGATTTGTAATGTAAACTTTGCATTTTTCCAATCAAAAATAAAAAAATTTTTTAATGATGAATGAAAATTTAACAGTTTTTCCGTATGTAAAATATACATTTTTTCCACTGACAATTAATAAATGAGTTAATAATATTTTTCATAATAAAAAATGATTCAAATAATTTTTCAAAAACACCAATTTTTTTTTTTATTGCATATATGACTGTTCAAGGTGTGCAGTTTTGAATTAATTAATTCTTAAAAAAATATCTTATCTAATGAATATCTTATTTAAATTTCAGATAAATCGTAATAATAATAATAACCTTAATAACAATAACAATAACAATAATAATAACAATAACAACAACAACAACAACAACAACAACAATACAACTGCCAATCATAATCATAATACAATGCATACATCGACAATAACAATGATGCATAAGCCAATAATAAAGACTTTAAAGCCAGTCGTTGAGGCTGAAGGACCATTTGTACGTATGGAAGAATCCCTGGAAGAGTTATTACCGCGGAATATTAGCCCTAAGCAAAATCAACAGGTTTCCTCGCCCATGCAAGAGGATTATATGCAAATGAATGGACCACCAGGTAAATTATTATTATTATTAAATTTCATTCAATTGTCTAATATTTTAAAACGGGCATTTTTTTTTCCTTACATTTTTTATTGTAAAAAATTCAAAGTGAAAAAAATTTCATATGTCCTTCTGAAAATAGACGATTGAATAGTTTTCAAACTAAAACTCAGAATCAATTCATAAAATAAAATAAAATTATCAGGTGTAATGAGAACAGCGCCAGTAGATTTTCCTCAGCCGCGTAAGCCACCAGAAGGCTACGTAGAAATGAATTTCAAAGCGCGGCCAACCATGGAGCAGAATTATATCAACATGACAATGGGCTCAGGATTAAGAACACGCCGACGTTCAAGACCCAGCAACCACCGCAAAGAAAAATCCCAAAGATCAATCTTGTTTGTAACTTTTAAAGAAACTATTTTTTTCTTTTTTAAATTTTCCGAAGGTAAATATATCTTTAGAAGTTTATTTCAAATTTTTGAAGTAATCGGACTAATAACACTACAGCTAGTAAACATTTGACCATTTTTTATTTTGGAATCACTAAAAATTATGAGTTGAAAAGTATTTTCAAAAAATTGCATTTGGAACTATTTAAATTTTCTGCATGTCAAATTTTTTTTTAATTTTATTTGAATAATTTTTTCAATAAAAAAAAAGTTAGGGAAATTTTCAGATGCCGGCTGATTTAATTTTCATTAATTATTATTATTGCTATTAAATAATTTATAAATTTTTTTATGTCCATTTGAAAAAATTTTCCTACACTAGAAAGTTTCAAAATTAAAAAAAGATTTTTTTTTTATAAAAATGAAACAATTAAATGTAGGATTATAACCATTCAAAATTTCAATGAAAAATAAATTAAACAATGATTCTTCTCCATCTTATTTTTTTATTATAAAAAAAAGTATCAAATTTAATTAATAAAAATACAAAACTATTACAAGCATATAAATATTTAAAGTTCGGCAACAAATTTATAAATTTACTGAAAAGAAACCAATGATAAATGAAATTAAATAATTAATAATAAAATTTAATAACAAACGTTTAAAAAATTGAGAAAAATTTTTTTATTTATAAAACTTGATATAAGAACAAAAACAATTATTTCTTAAATTTTTTATTCTTACTTGAAAAATAACACTTATACACATTGTCATAAAATTTTTAATTTTTATAAAATATATATATTTTATTATTATTATTATTATTATTGTCAGGTAAATTCTCTGCTTCATTACTTTCAGACATATTTTTAAATTAAACAATAAAATTAATGATTATAAAAATGCAATATTAAAAAAATAAATAAAAAATGATTCTTCTATAATTCATTTATTTTTTGTATCAAAAAGTTATCAAATTCAATGAACTAAAATACAAAATTATTACAAGCATATGAAAATCAAAAGTTCAACTTAAAATTTATGAATTTACTGAAAAGAAACCAATAATAAATTAAATTTAATGGCCAATAAAAATATTTATATACCGCCTACTCAATTTCCACCAATTTACTCAATTCAAAGTTACTAAAATAAAAAAACATTTCATGAATAAAAGTAGCAGGAAGATATCTAGAAAAAACTTTATAGAGAATATCTTCAACTTGATTGAACAATTTTCTTCGTTGACCAGCTTTTTCCAAGCGATACTTAATCATTCCTGCGTACAGAGGAAACTTGGCCGCCATTTTGTCGTCAAACTTATCTTCATCTCCATTCTTGATCCTCAGCGCCAGTTTGTGATAAGATCTGTGCAGTATATCAAACAAGGAAAATCCAACCATTATTCCATAATTATTCTTCATGACTTCAACTTCTGTATCACATTCAACTCTAAATTTTCTTAATTCACTTCCTGAAATAACTTTTTTATTTCTATCGCAGACGTAAAAGCCAGCCGCCACCAGCTTAACAATATGCTTCTTCATAATCTCAACGCACATTTCTTTGTCTACATAGCTATCAATCGGTAATTGGCCATGATCGTCTACAATATTGGGATCACAACCTGCATTCAGAAGATCTTGAAGATTAGACTCAGGTTCATCAGCGTTAATGTATAGGTACCAAATCTTTGGAAAATGGAGACAAGATTGGTTGTCATTGGTCAGAGAATTCATTTCTATAAAAGGTTGATTTATCAAAAACCTAAGAGTTGCTGAGTTATCGTCTTCAATAGCTGCTTTCATCAGAGGAGTCACACCATTGACGTCTTCGGCATTAATATCAGCGCCATGTTTGATTAACAATTTAATCATTCCTAAATACGTTATTTGCCAAAGCAGCGATACTCATCGGCAAGTCGCTCATCTCTCTATTGAAATCTCTTCCGTGAACATCAGCGCCCTGGCTGATAAGAAAAATACAGCAATCTCATATTCATTCTGATTGACAGCAAATTCTAGAGGTGTATACTCTCGATAAATAAGATGAAAATTATAATTATCTTCATCATCAAGCCTACCATTATATTCCTCATATGTGTCTTTTGCACAGATAATCTGATTGACATCAGCACCAGCTGCTATTAATTTCTTCACGTACTTCAAGCGGTTTAAACTTATCTAATTAATTCACCCTCCATAATTTAAGGAGGTCCTTTCGCCGCCAATGTAAAATAAAAAATATTAGATTATGAGTAAATTAAATTTTTTTCTAATAGTTGAAGTCCTTATTTATCTAATAGTGAGGTTTAAATTATACTTTACCGGACAAATTTTTGAAAAAATAAAATTTTTAAATGTTAGTATTTGTTCAGAGTCTTACGAGAAAGTCAGACGTTTGCAGTATTTCTCGAATTATACTATCAGTCATAGATTAGATGAAGTAAAAAAAAACTAAAAATTAGATTTTCGAAATATTCAGGTTTCTTTTTTTACAATAAAATATATCAGTTACCGAGATATTTATTGAGAAATTAATAATTAAAAATCACAAAAAATTCTCAAGCAACCTACGTTAAAATGGAGTCAAAAAATTTGGCAACGTTGCGTAGCGCGCGAACTTCAGACCATTCAATAAATTCAAACTAATTTATTTATTTACACTGACAAAAAAACTTAAACGTGGTTAAGGTAATATTCTGCATTATGATTAAATTCAATTTTTTTCTAATAGTTAAGGGCCTTTTTTATCTAATAGTGAGGTTTAAATTATTATACTTTACCGGACAAATTTTTGAGAAAATAAAATTTTTAAATGTTAGTATTTGTTCAGAGTCTTACGAGAAAGTTAGACGTTTGCAGTATTTCTCGAATTATACTATCAGTCATGGATTAGATGAAGTACTAAAATTAGATTTTCGAAATATTCAGGTTTTTTTTTTTTGCAATAAAATATATCAGTTACCGAGATATTTATTGAGAAATTAATATTTAAAAATCACAAAAAATTCTCAAGTAACCTACATTAATATGGAGTCAAAATATTTGGCAACGTTGCGTAGCGCGCGAGCTTCAGACCATTCAATAAATTCAAACTAATTTATTTATTTACACTGACTGCAAAAACTTAAACGTGTTTAAGGTTATATTGTGCAAATGAAAATGTCACGGAGCTTAGATAGATCTATCTAAGCTCCGTGGAAAATGTAAACAACCGAAGTACAGCGTTGCCAAATCACGGACAGGTTACTAGCAGCTGATTTGAAAGAGTCAAATTAATTTTTGTATTTAACTATTTTTTTTTTTTTATTTTTAAAATTTCAACGATTAATGCCTCATATACTATTTATTATTTAATTTTAGGAATTTTTATGGGTTTTTTATTTTAATTTATCGTATATTGACTACTACAATTGTTTTGACTCAACTGGAGCGAAAGGATTTCCTTAATGGTTAAATTAGTAATAATAATCATTAATTCAACTGCCAACCGTACGGAGAAGGCCTCAGTCGGTAATTTTCGTATAGTTGAGCCCCTACATGCTACATTCGAGTCTCGACATCTACCAGAAAATTCTCTAAGCATGAAAACAGATTTTTGGCGCGCTCACAGTGTCATTGTGTGCATATTATATTCAGTTGTGTATATATTTTGTATCCTCAACAGAATTTACGTTACGTTCATAGAATAACAGTTGTTTTTTTAAGTTTTTATTTTCATAAATAATATTATTTTTATTAATAATGAGTTTGTGGGTGGATAAATATCGTCCTTCTAGTCTTAGTAAATTGGACTATCACACAGAACAAGCGGAACATTTAAAAAATATGGTAATTCTATAAATTAATTATAGGTTATTTATTCAATTAGAATTATAATTCAGAGTAAAAATATACTATTTTCTTTAATATTTACCTCGCCAATCTATTTTAACAGAAATTAATTAGTATTTTGTCCTCTTGATGCTTTTTTTTACGTAATAATAAAATAAATATTTTTATTAGGTCCAAAAAGGTGATTTTCCACATTTACTAGTTCATGGACCTCCAGGTGCCGGCAAAAAAACACGAATAATGGCGATTATTCGCGAACTATATGGTCCTGGAGTTGAGAGACTAAGAATGGAACCAATGCAGTTTGAAGTATGCTTTTATTCATTATATTAAAGTTAGCAGTCACTTGACTATTTTTTAATTTTATTTAACGAAAAAATTTATTCTAAAAAATTATTTTTAAAAAATTGCATTTTTAATTTTTTTAAATTTCTAAATGTCAATTTTTTGTTTTTCATTTTTTTTTTTCCATAATTTATTTATTACAAAAATTATTCAATATCTGCCAAGTTAATTTTCATCTTTTATTATTATTTTTTGTCTCATGTTAAGCTAAAAAAATTTTCGACTTTTATTCTTCAGTTTATTAAAAAAAAAAAAATTATTTTTTGCAAATTATTAATTAGAAAAAAATATTGCTGAATTTCCTACATTCTTTCGAATTAAAGCTTGTTATGAAATGATGTTTAATTAGTTTATTATTTTTAACTAATATTTTTTTATTTTTTAGACACCATCAAAAAAGAAACTTGAATTGATGACTATAAGTAGCAATTATCACATCGAAGTAAATCCTAGTGATGTTGGCATTCACGACAGAATAGTCATAATGGATTTAGTAAAAACAACCGCTCAAACTCATCAAATTGATATTAATGGCCAACGAGATTTCAAAGGTAATCTCACTTTCTTTTCTTCTTAATGAATAATAATTAATAAAATAAAATTTTTTACTAAAACGTTGAACTTAATTTAAGTTGTTCTATTAACAAACGTCGACCAGTTAACTAAGGATGCTCAACATGCTCTTCGAAGAACAATGGAAAAATATATAACAACTTGTAGAATAATTCTTTGTGCTAATTCAACATCACGAGTTTTACCAGCAATCAGGTCTCGTTGTCTTGGAATACGAGTCCCGGCACCAACAAATGATGAAGTAAAATCTGTTCTTCATGGTATTGCAAAAAAAGAAGGAATTAATTTACCTGATGAATTAGCTTCTAGATTAGCAACTGCTAGTGGGAGAAATCTCCGACGAGCTATTTTAATGCTTGAAGCATGTAAAGTTGAACAGTAAGTGATATTTCATGGATGAATTCAATTAATTTTTTTTTTTAATCTACAAGTGATAAAAAAATTAGTCAAAGCTTGCAAATATTTTCTCCCAAAAAATTTTTTATTATTTGCCAGGGTCGCAAATTTATTGATTTAAATATTTTAAAATTTATAATTAATTTTTTATTTGATTTTAAACGGATTACGAAGAGAAAAAAAATTAATTCGAGCGCTATTTTTATAATTATTCTAATGTATGATTTGCAGCCCCGTTGCTCCAATTTTTCTTTCTATAACACTAATCTTATGAATTTGTATTAATTAAAATAAATCATTTTTAGATACCCATTTACCGCAGACCAACAAATTACAGAACCAGACTGGCAAAGTTTTATTAGAAAAACTGCAGCAATGATGGTATCAGAACAAACCCCAAGAAAATTATTAGATATTCGTGGTAGACTTTATGAATTACTTACACATGCCATTCCTTGTGATTTAATATTCAAAGGGCTTCTACAAGAATGTATAAAAAATTGTGACTTACAATTAAAAGCCGAAATCGTGTTGGTAGCTGCCGAATTTGAACATAGGATGCATCGAGGATCAAAAGCTATTTTTCATCTTGAAGCATTTGTTGCAAGATTCATGACTATTTATAAAAAATTTATGGATGTAGCCATGGATGATTTTGAATAAAGTTTTTATTTTCCTATAATAGTAATAGTAATTACTTTTTTTGGTAATTTAATTTAAAATAAATATAACTTGGTAACTTCTATATTCAGATTATTATATACATAATCATTTTAAATTAATTATTAATTACTCAACAATTTAAAATTAGTTTTACGAATATTTTTTATTTAATTATTAATAAAATTAAAATATTGCAGCTAACAGGAACGCTGAGGCGATGGAAATACCAACAACTGCCCATCCAGTACCATATACGTGCTTGATTGTCAAAAATAATCCTAAATCCCAGTTCTTTTAAAAAATTCATTATTAAAATTTAATATTTAATACTGTTATATATTTATAAAAAATAAATATTGATTACAACTTACCAAGTGGCGTATTCCATTAAAATAATGGTACGTTGCTGGCAATGCAAGAGCAAATTTTCCAAGAAACAGTATTGGGGATGGTAAACCTATAGCATTCACTGAGTCAATTAGACAACTCATACCACCAGGATGGAAAAGTTCCGCTGTGGAAATAAAAATTATACAGTACAAACTCGTGTTCTCAATAATTAAATCAGGATTGTATAGTTCCAATACAGAATATAGAGTGATAAACTGTGAATTGGTATAATCAAAGTGTACTTATACAATTGTATCATATTTAAATTGTCTATTAATAAACTTTATTGAATCTATCAGGAAAAATTGTAATTGATGAGATTAATTAGAATGAAGATTTGAGTATCTCTCTATGGTAAACTAATTAAATTCATTTTAAATTAATAAGATTGCATAACCGACATAAAAAATAATTCAAGTAATTTTCATTGTATGTATTAAAAAACAATTAATTTATTCATTTCGAAAATCAAGACTACAGTCTTTTAACTCTAGACTGGTCAACAAACACGACCTAATGACTTTGGTCAAGTGATGAGGGATTTGCCGCAATGCTTTTAGAGCGTAAAGTGTTGCCAGTTCATACACGTTTGACAGGCAGAGACTAGAGGTATTTTCGGCAACACCGCGGACAAAAAACTACTTACGACTCTGGTCAAGCGATGACGAAAGCCCCGCGAATTTTTTTTCAGCAATTTAACGTTTTTGAAGATGTTTGAAAAAATTATTAATATACTCTAAAATGTTCAAGAAATAAAGTCAAATTTTTTTGAATAATTTTAGTAAATATTGAAGATGTAATAAAAAAAAATATAATTGAGCGTGGTGTCACGCTCATACGTTGACCGGTCTAGGGTTAATAGATCGTCATTATTTATAACTAATATATAAAAAAAAAAATGTACTATTCATTAATTAAATATAAATTTGTGTTCTTCAAACAAATCGAAATGTGAATTTTTACCATAAAAAGATTGGGCTTATATTAGAAATTAAGTATCGACATTTTAGAGATTTTAAATGATCCTTTACTAAAAAAACAAAATAAAATATTAACTAATCAGTGATTATAATTAATATTTTTTTTTCGCTTAGAAATCTTCATATTTTATTTATGTGATTTGTGATTTCATTAGATTTCTTATTCTTACATTTTTGATATCCGGAATTTGATAAATACCCTGATAGCCACGCTTTGATTAGAAGTAGTTAGATTTCAGCAATTACAGTTAACTTGACATCAAGTTTGCCATAAATTTTTACAGTACAACAGTTTTAAACAAATTGACTAAAATCTACAGCCCCAATTTGAATACAAGTTAACACCGAACTTTTGGTTAAATTGTACTACAATTTTACTACAACTTGAATAAAATACTTATACTGCAAGTCTTGACGTCAAATTGCAGTGTACTTAAGTAAACAACTTAAGTAAAAACGTTTGGTTTGCAACTTTTTTCATCAAGTTGGCTACAAATTTCCGCAGTAGATTGAATAAAAGTTTGAGTTAAGGTAGGTATCAGGGTATTTTATGATATTAAAATAAACAGACACCTGACCATTTTTTTTAAATTAAATAAATGAGTTCTAAGAAAATATTTTAAAAAATTACATTCATACTTTTTTATAATTTTAACGTATGAAATTTTTTTTAATTTTCTTCGTCAGAATTGATTTGTTGAAAAAATTCTTTAAACTTGTCAGATATTTATTAATAAGCTCAGTATCAAAATATTTGGATTCTATATAATTTATATTTATAATAAACTAGCTGTTACCCGCCCGCTTCGCTGGGCGCTTTATAAAATTGCATTTTTAGATCTAGACTTGAAATTTAATTATTGTTTTGATTTGCTTAGATTTTAATTGAGTATTAAAAGTTTAGTTAAAGTCATTAGATATAGAAAATAAATTGAACATTTTTTTTACGAATTCTATTTAAATAGGTAGCCAAATTTACTTTTCACATACCCAGTGTTTGGAAAATGCATTCATTTTAATCAGATACATTCCCGCGATCCCGCAATAAGAACAATTTATAAGTTATGTAATAATAACATGTATATAAAATTCTTGCAGCAAAAATAACATATATATAAAATTCTTAATCCGTTGACCGAATTACTACATGTAATATTAAGTTTTGGAAACCTAACAATTACTTTTTTCCCGCTGCTAAAGGAGACGTTTGGTGTAAGAAAATTTTTAGTAAATGTTATTAAATCTCAATAGATATGGTCGAAGTTTCATGTTTCAAAAAGTTCTAGTTTATAAACAACAGCATTTTCAGTAGATTTCATAGATATCTAACTATTTTATTTCATGAAACCAATTAATTCTTAGATAATAATCATAACCAAACATACGATCAGCATATAAACAGAAATTTTCGACACTTAGTTCACCAAAAATAATTAGCTTCTTTTTCTTGAACTTTTTTTAAATGACATTAAATCAATCAAATATCAAGGTTATGTAATAAAAACAAAAGAAAATCGTATTAAAAACAAATGAATAAAAAATAAGAGTCTTTTGTTTTTCTTAGCGGGAAAAAATGCATGTGAAATTAAATCGTAAAGAAAATGAGAAATGGTTGATAAAACCCAAAAAATAAGTAGCCCATAACATCTACGGAAAATTCTGCGTCGAATGGTAGCGGTCCTATCCCGATAGCTTTAGTGGTCTTGACGTCAACTTTAGTCAAAGAAACCCTATTTCGCTCATTTATATTACACTCACGCATCCGCCCACACGTTGGTACATGGACACTCACGCATTCACCCACGCGTCCACCCAAGCATCCACCCACGCATCCGCCCACGCGTTGGTAGATGGAACTAAATTCTCAAAAAAAAAAAAAAAAAAACGTGATACCCTTCATGCCTAAATGAAATAATAAGTGAAATTTTCCACCCACGCATCCGCCCACACGTTGGTACATGGAACTAAATTTTCAAAAAAAGAAAAAAAAACGTAATACCCTTCATGCCGATAAAAAAACAAATGAATTGAAGAAAAAGGCTCGTCTTTTGTTTTTATCGGCGGGAAAAAATGTTTATCAAAGTTAAATAGAAATAAAATGGTCAAGGATTGATGGAATTCAAAAAATAAGTAGCCTATAACCATCTACAATTCATTCCGCGTCGAATGGTCCCAGTCCCATGTCAATACGTTCAGTAGTTTTTGCGTGATTGACGGTCTACGAAACCCACTTTCAATATATATACATATATATATATAGATAACTAAATTAAAATAATAATTCCTAAGACTAAGAAACACTTTAAATATTTCAATCTAATAAATTACTTATTTCATGATACTATCAAACGATTGTAAGACTTTAAAAGCAAATTCCGTACTTGAAGAAAGTTATTAAAGAATATACAAACCACAGCTTTAAAATTTTCTTCGTATTGCTTTCGAATTTTTTCTCATCACGATTCAATTTTTAGGCATTCAAAAATAAATTTATAGGTATCTCCTGATTAAAATATGTACCAGGAAAAAGAAAGTACTTAAAACGTAGAGTGAAATGGAGACAAGTATTGGGTACTTGTTTTCTTGTTAGTACTACATAAACAGGTGCTTAGTACTCAGAAAAAGCAAGCGTAAGAATTTCCAGATAACTTACTTAGTCCAGCCGCTGTTGCATAATAAGCTAACATTAATCCAGAAGCTCGATGAGAGAGCGAAAGCATAGAAGTCAATTGAGGTTTGTAAATAGTTAAATGAGGTGACAATGGTCGTTTCAAACGATGATTTTTTTCAGAATAAGTTTCACATGCTGTAGCAGCCGCTGACTTAGATACAGTTGAAGAAATATTTAATGAACTAAAATGTACGAAAATTTTTTTTTTTTAAGTTTATTTCAAAAGTAAACAAGGTTATGTAATAACAAAATTTTACCTAGATTTGAATAGTCCTCTGAGATGACTGATCTCTAAATTATTTCGACACAATAATCTGAAAAATAAATAAATAAATTATTGCTAAAATTCAAATTAAAAATTATCATTGAAGGAAGCATATTTTTGAATAAATAATTTATTACCTCGTATAATTAAACGCCATTTTTTACACTAAGCTCCCGTACCCTGAAAATCAGAATAATTCGTAAATGTTCGTATATATGTATATAATCTAAAAGTATTTTTAAATATATAGTAATTTACGCCATCAATCTTTTAATGTCTACTTTGTTTACAAAGTGAGAAAAACTTACCAACAAAAATATACTATTACAGCAATTTGAAATAAGCGAAAAATACAAGCCCAATGATAAGAATTAGGCTGAAGTTCCATGTAACAGTAAAAGACTTCATTCATAGTATAGCGAGAAAGAGAGCTAAAGATAGAGCGATCCATATGGTGAACTTGAGAAAACTACGAACTACGACCAATGAACAACACTATTTAGAGCAATAAAATCTTATTGGTGGAAAAACTCTTTAACGATTATTTAAATTATATCACATTTGCACTTAAAAACTGCATCGAATATTGCAGATCCGAACAAAATCAGTTAATTTGTTCAAGAGATGTAATATTATAAAATTTTTTTTAATTTAACTCCAAACATTTTCGCTTCTGCAAGAACATTATTAACCACACCATCTACAAGTTGAAAATTTAAAAAAATAAAAAAAAAAAAAAAAACAGCCAAAAAAATTTTCTAATTTCTTGAAAAACCATAAAAAATCAAAAAATAGATTCTTCCAAAAATTTTTTATTCAAACCATTCATTTTGACGGCACATTTAAGATAAAAATCGTGATGCAAATAGTCGCAATTGAATTTTCCAATTAGTTTTAAAGCTTTTATTATTAAAGCTTCAATATTGAAAAAAATTAAATGCTTACCAAAAATCGTTCATAAGATTATAATCTCACCCGTGTAAAAAAAAATTATTCCAAAAATGTTCCAAGCATGGACATCAAAACGTGAGACACAATAAGGGGCATTTGTAAGACATCTTATAAATAATCGGAATGAATATCATTATTTAACACTAGCTAAAAATGTTCTGAATAATAATTTATCAAAAATAATATAAAAAATGTCAAAATCTCATTTTGGGATAAATGAACAAATGAACCAGCTTGAAAAAAAAAAGCTGTGCAAAAATATATCATATTTTCTAAAATTGTCCTTTAAATGCCGCAGAATTTTTTTAAAATGTTCTAAAATTGTTTTAAATTTGTCGAAAAAAGTGTTCCGAAAATCTTTCAAAAATGTTCCAAATTTGTCTCAAAATTGTTCTAAAAATGTCCAAAACATGTTTTAAATATTAATTTTCGGACAAATAATTCAGCTGTGTAAAAAGAAATCAAATCTATTTTTAAATTATTCAAAAATTGTTCTAAAAATCTCAAAAAATTATCCAAAATATGTTCTCAAATTATTCAAAATATGTTCCACAAGAGATTTTAAGGACATAATTTTTACTAAATTGTTTGAAATAGACTAAAAAGTTTTCCTGCTGTTCTGTCGGCATTCTGTAGACATTTTTGGAATATTTTTTGGGCAATAAGCTTAGCAAATTCTCTTATTCTTTTGCATTCTACATGTGAAATAATCAATTTAAAAGAAAAACTTTTTTAATCTCAACTTTTCAAAGTTTTATGATTTTTACAAAAATTTTTTCTCATTTCTCATTCTATTTTCTAATAAACTTCAAGAAACTTCAAGAAAAAAAGTAAGTGAATGTAAAAAAAGTTAATCATGTTGATATTACAATCAAAAATAGTGAGATCACTTCCAAAGAATTATTATAAATTTTATTGAATTAAGGATTACATTAAAAACAAATATCATAAATTTTAATTATACACATTTATTCATTTATATATTTATTTAACTATTTTGCTCGTCATTATTACAACGTCTTTAATAACAATAATAGCATTCAACATTGAAGTAGTACATTACTAATAATAGCAGACAATTAACTATGTAATAGTTTTTCATTCTAATGAATCGATAAGACGTCAATATTATTCGTTTAATATGAAGTATTCGATTATTTGTATTATATACTACATTTTTTTATTTAAACTCATTCAAAGTATTTACTCTATTCATTTATATATAGTCATATGACTATTCAATACCATCTTAAACATTTTTCATTACAGATTATATATGATTCTATGATTCAATAAAAATGTCAAACTATTTTGCAACTAAGAATAATAATATATAAAAATGACTGATTCAAATACTTCTATATAAAAAAAGAGATTTAATACAACAGTGAATATGATATTTATGACAATTACACATTTAACTACTTTTAATTATTATTAGTTTAATTTACAATTTTATTTCAGAGATTGCACCCATCAAAAACATTTCCACTCTATTTATTTTTTGGATTAAATTTACACCGCGAATAATGAGGCCTTTACTATTTCATTTAATGATGATACTGATTAATAGTAAAACAAAAAATATAAATATAATAATTACAATATTATTTCTCAATCATTTATATTTTTCCGATATGTAATATCATTCATTCTTTTAGAATTTAGATAAAAATTGCCGAAGAAATAAAACGATGAATCACATTGGTATCCAAATTTCAGTGTACATTAGACTTAAATCATATTTTAGTTATTAATTTTGTCCACATACAATTTTTTTTCTTTTAATAAAGTTTTTTTCAGACAACAATTTTATTTTTCTGAAATTATATCATTTTTTTATGAAAAATTCATAAAAAATTTTTTGCTTTTACTTTTCAAAATTATACTAAAAAAAAAAAAAAATTATCATTACGTATAAGAATAAGTTTCAAATTTTAATTATTTTTAGGGATTAATATGTTGTGAATGTAAGAATTTCATGACAGTTAAAATTAAGTATTATCAAACATTATTTAACCATGTTTTGCCCTTATTTGTATGAATTTACTATAATAAATATGCTAATTATAATCAAAATTATATTCGGTAATATTTCACTTTTAATAATAGAAATTACACAACGTAAATTATCAAATTAAATATTCTAAAAAATAAAGTAATACTAGCTTCTTATCATTAAACCTTCAATGACTTAAATTTATTAACGCTCCTAATTGTATAAGTAAATAATATTATTCAATATTTCGAATTTTCTTATCATTCTATTTGCTTTAACTGACAATGAGATTTTTTTACTAGAATAATAACATCCAAGCGTATTTATTCTTATTTAACTTGATTCAATTATTCATTTAATATTAATTTTTAAAAATTAATTACGGAATCATAATTAAAGTAACAAAAAAATTAACGATCACAAACAATTTCAAAATATCTAAATAATAAATTACATTATATTTTAAAATACATAAAATATAAGTTAAGAAAAACTTAAAAAACATTCTAGTCTTTTGTTCTTAATAAAAAGAAAACTTAATGAATTAACGGAATGCAGAGGAAGATACAAATGCTGTTAAAAATTTTTTTCTTTAAAATTTTTCAAAAAAAAAATAGTAAAATTTTAATTTCAATATTAAACCTCGATTTTAACATATCAGACTATTTTTCATACAAAAAAGTTTGGCACGCTCACTCATACTTTTAAAAAAATTGAAAAATCAAGCAACATTAAATAAAAAAATTTTTGATAAAATACACATGTGGTCAAGATGTTTTTGAAATTTTTTAATTTGTTTTAATTTATAACACCAGTCAATTTTTGGCATGATTACTGTTGGAAGATATGTGAATAGTCAATAAAACGTTTAAAAAATAAAAATGATCAGAAAATTAAGAAATATTTTTCAAATTGTTATTATTTAACAAAAAATTTTTTCAATAAATAACAAATATAAAAAACATTTCAAGTGCGCATGGAAAACAAATTTTTTAATATAACACATGAAAAACAAAAAGAAATAAAACATATTAATGGTTGTTTACCAAAAAAGCATGTAGTGACACGTACGGACGACTAGAGTGATAATTCAAATTGTCACGAAAAAAATAATTTTATCGTTCGTCTGCATTAACAATTTATTTAATATTATTAGATAAAAAATAAATGAACTAAATAAATATTAACTGGTAAATTATGTTCTTCCCATTCATTCTCTTGTAACCATGTACACAATGCATACATCTGATGCTTACACTAACTTCAACTTTTTTTTTTAGTTCTTAATCATCAAACATTACTGTCAGATTTCGATGAAAATGCCATTGGTTCAGCATTTTCTACTAAATTTGACTTCATACTAGATAGTGGTGCTTGAGTATTTGTGGCTGCTGTTCTCATTTCATCAATGGGAGCCCTAAAAAATAAAAAAAAATATAAATATAATATAATATAATGAAAAAAAAAGAAAGGGAAACTTATTTAGTTCTAGAAATAAAAGAACATGCTCGATAAGATTCTAAATAAAAAACTAATTTTAAAAAGTTTATTCCTAATGAAGAAGTAGACATGTTTTAGTAGTATTAAAAATTAAAACTTTTAATTTGGGTAATTACTATAACCATGAAAGTAAATTAAGTATAATAAAGTGTAAATTTTATTTTCTAATTAAAAATAACTATTATTACTGCCTTTAATTTAAATTAACTAAAAATTTAATACAATTTATCATTAATAATAATAATAATACAACTAGTGTGCAGGAAAGTAGTTCTAATCTAATCAAATTATTCATATAAATACATAATTATAAACTAGTATATGTCCTACGGCGTAACGGATAACGCATCTGACTACGGATCATAAGATTCAATATAATTAACATAATTATAGACTATTCTATTTACAAATTGATAATAATATCTTACATTTATCATGAGTTAAAATATAAATAAATTACACACACCATATACAAGCAATATACCACCAGGAAGTAAATGAGAAAATTTAGTACACAGAAAGCATGCATAAAAAACTCAATAATAATTAGATTGATTATTGCCTGATTAGCAGAATAGGAGAATTTAATGGAAGCTTATGTTGGCCTCCAGACATCTGGATCCTCCATCAAAGTAGTGTGATGATCCGTTGATGGTACATTAGCTTGAGGAGAAGCCATACCTGATGGTGATGCCATCCCTGTTGGGTCTGGTCTTGACCCTCTGTTATTTATCGTGTCAGTATGTTAATTATCCTTACACTTACTTTTGTTTATCTCTTTACTCGACTACATATATGTATGCATGTATGTAAAATCACAAAGTTAAACTAAACTATTTCATTGAAAATAAGTAATAATTATTTGTCAACAAAAACTCGAGTGAATACTTAAAAATATAAATTTGTGACTTTAAACGTTGTTATTTATAAATAAAGAATAATAAACAATAGAAGGTAAATAAGCAGTGAAAATATGAAACACAGTACATGTTCACCCTCAAACTTGTAAATTTGTATTAGTGTCAACACATAAAACCATATTTAATCCCAATTATTAGTGTCTAAAATTTATTTTATAAATACTTACTTTTTGCCAAGTGACATTAGACCATAGATTATTCCAGTTGTAAATATTAAACCGCAACCAAATATACTACTCAATGATGGACATAAGAAAATTGAAGGCAACGCTATTCTGTGAAACAAACGAAAATTTTAATTATATTAACAAGACAAAATAGGAAGAAAACATGATTAAATTTCTTTTGGACATCCACTCATTTTTTCTGTCAAGTTAATCACAATTAGAACAATTAAGAAATTTGTAAATTTTTTGACAAAAAAAAAATTAATAGAAATTGTAAAAACTAGAAAAGTGAAAATTTAAAAAAAATTCTTTTTTAAATTAGTTATTTTATTAGTAGAATATTAAAAATCGGTAATTTTTCAAAATTAACAGCTTCAAAACTAATTAGAAAATTTATTTTCAACTATTATCATGATTTTTATCTTAAATACACCATAAAAACAAATAATTTAAAAACAAAAATAGTCGGAAATGTTTATTTTTCGATTTTTTATGCTAAAAATCGGTTGATCATTTTTAAACAAATGATATTAAAGTATGAGAAATCTGACAATTTTTATAAATTTTTGAACACATAAATTATTAAAAAAACAATTCCACTTGTAAAAATTAAAAAAAAATTATGAATGGAATTTTTTAAGAATATTTTCCTAATACTTAATAATTGATTTTTTTTTTGATAAAGCAAAAAAAAATATCGTATCTAGTGATTTCAGTATCATTATATTTTATTAAAGGAAACCTTGATATACTTACATACAATAACCAGCAGCTCGGTTCCAATAAGGTCTTTTTTCGACCCAATCACTCAAGTTTTGTACGAAATCGATAAACATACAACAACAAGGTGCTTCAATAGTAACGACTAAAAATCCAGCTATCATTTGCAGAATACCACTTATAAAACACATCACAGATCCAAGTACAATACCAATACAATTCCATGCTCCTAAAAATATTGCAACTGAAACAGATAATTATCATTATTCAAATATTCATTAAAAAAAAAATATTTAATAAAAATAAAGCATATGTGTTGACGAAAATAAAAACTTACTAAGACTTCCAACTGTGCCCAAACTTCGACCGGCATACTTCATCCACCAAGGAACATCGTCCTTGGACACAGGATCTTGACCAGGTCTCTCCATTATGGAGGCTATTTTTTCTCCGAATGACTGTTGAAAAAATCTTTTATTAATTTGGCTTTATCGATGTAATATATATTGAAAAAACTTAGACTATAGATTTAGATTAATTAACTATTACGATAAATATTAATTAGCATATTTTATAATTACCATTATTGCGTTAATCCGAATATTATCGGATGGTTATTAGCTGACACTTATTCTTCAATTCCCTGACAGTTCTAAACTATATAAAATCAAAGAGGTAAGGGGAATGAATTCTATCCTCTTTCTTTACTCTAAAAAATGGTCGAGGTATGAACAGATAATCGACCCATCAGCTTCTCATTTCCACCGCTAGAGTACGTTTGCAGTCAAAACTAAGGCGTGTTCGGGAACTCGATTCAGGAAATTGGTATAAATATACTAAGTACATAAAAATTAATTTTACCTTCTACAAATACGGATTAAAAAAATGTAATAGTTTCATCTAACCTTTTAATCACTATCTTTTCAAGAAATGTAAAATTAACAAATTAAAAGTTTTTTTTCCGATTAAGTCCAAGTTTTTTAATGACTCCTTTTTTAACTTTAAAGGACAAATCTATTCAATAAAGTCCGTTAACGTTCGTGACATGTTTTTTAATGATGCATTAGAAAATCCGTTTATAAATTATTAGTCGCTAATTTTTTTAGTTTATATTGAAATTTTCTGAGTACATATATAATGTGCAATTATTTATTATCAAAAGAAAAAGAAATTTTTTATTTAGAATAAAAGAGCAATTTATACTTTTTAATTATAACATAAAATTGTAGCTGATGGTGATTCAGAAGATGTATAATTTATATTTGTTTAAATTTAAACAAATAGAACTCAAACCAAAATAATGAAGTTTTTTAATTAATATAAAAAACATTATGAAGAAAAAAAAGATAATGGTTATTTACAAGATTTCTTCTTTGTTTTTTGCTCCTGATAAGGTAAAAGACCCCATTAGTGGCACCTTTAACTCCTATTAGTGGCACACTTTTTATTTCAATGAAAAAATGTGCTACTTGGAATAAAAATGAAAAATTTTTTTGATCTGAAGGTCTTAAAAATTAGAAATTATATATTCATTATTGAAATTAATGATTTTATTAATTGAATAAGTACAAAAATCAAAGAAAGTATCAGTAATGGGGTCCCCATATTATCTGTAATTTAAATGTAGAAACATGCTTAATACCATTTATAAATAAATCCAACAATTTTAAGGAGAACATAAATTTTCGAACTCTTTAACTATTTTTTGTATATTTATTAATTACAGATTAATGACATATGATCGTATGAAAGATTAAAATTTAAATATTTTAAAGCTCTCAGTTTCTAGTTTTGAATCTTTTATTAAAGAAAGTTTCTTGAGCAAGTTTAGTTTATTTTTTTTGACGTACGATATCTTGAGAACGAATCAACCGATTAAGGTGAGTGACCTGGCATTCAAAAAGGTTCGTTAAGACTCAGATCTGATTAGATTTTAAAGTTAATTGGTCAAGCCGTTTGAAAAATATTAAAAAAATAAAAAATCTCAAAAAAAATGTTGATTTGACCCAGTTCTTAAATTTTATGAGCTCGGATATCTCAAAAATTAACTGATATGAAAATTTTCCAGCTTTTCGATTTCGAAAAAAGCGAACAGTTGTAGGAATGACCTTCTAGGTCAACCACTTTTCAAATGATTTTTTCTGTCTTTTTTATGTCAAAATGATCATTTTTCTCGAAGATATTGAGAAGGGGGAAAGGGGGCAAAATGGATTACATAAGTAAATGCTTAGTTTTTGGGAACCTAAATATATTAAATTTTTTTATTTTTATTCAAAGAAAATATAACACATTTTCAGCTGCCGTCAAAAAAAGAAATTTCATTTTTTGCAGGTAAAATAAAATAAGCTGGGAAAAAATAAAATTCTTATCGACAATTGAACTAGAAGAACTTACTTTCAATCTAATAACTGAGTCCACAAGTTTTAAAAAATTATTTTACATAATTTTTATTCGTAGATTTCATAAAAATCTAACTGTTGAATTCGTCCTCATGGCACAATTTTTAAAAAATTTCGCTATTTTCTGAGTCAGCTCGACAAACTAAGTCAGAAAATATCGTTTATATCATCAATATAACGCGCCTTGTCACCACGATAGTGTTTACAATTTCTAACCGATTCTTCTCAAACTTAACATGCTTTATCTACTAAAAAAGACCAAGGTTAATTTCGAAGATGAGCTTAATCGGGCAAGTATAGTTTAGATATGAAAGGATTTTGAAATTTTAAAAATCGTAAAAATTGATGTTTTAATATTTACCACTTCAATTTGGAGTAATTTCTAAGCTAGACAAGATATTAAAATTCGGTTAATTGCATCGTAAAGCTCCTTTATTAAGCTTCAATTATCACTCCTTAGAAGTGGTAATAGCCTTTTAATATTATTCATTTTAGAGTTCGTTCAAAGAAACAATTTTACTGTTGCAGCCGTTTTAGAATTATTGACTGTATTATAGTATTAACATGATGTAGATTTAATAATCATGATATTGATCAGTCTTTCGTTTAATGTATTCGGGTAGCTGGTCAGTAAATCTGTCACAAATTAGTTCTAAATATTGTCTTTTTCAATTAAAATTTCATCCGGTTCCAAAATTCTGATTGATTTGGAAACTGTCGTTCCTAAGCAGTCACTTGAAATTTGGAAATTGATAAATAAAATTTCATAATCTTTAAAATCCTTTGATAAGTAATCGAGAAACTAATAATATTTACTTTACAAGAAAATTTTTTAATATCATTAGTTCTCAATAGTTTTAAATTAATTATTTATTTTTTTAAATCAATGAATTAAGTTATATATTGTTATTAATATTATTTTATAAAAAACAAATTTTCTTTTTCAAGAAATCTACTTCCATTTTGGCTGCCGAATGTTCTTTTCTCACCATTGCCTTTTATACTTGAATTGCTGAAAAATGATTGAATATTTGATGCGAAGTCTTTCTAAAAAGAAATGAAATTTTCAAAAAATTACTAAAAATCTTGTTGAAGATGTTAAAAGGAAGTTGTAATGGTAAAAAAATCGTAATTATTTTCAGAATTGTCAGTAAAACAACTAAACTATCTTCAATTTGAAATATATTTACTGATATTATTCATTTTACAGAAAAAGAAGAAATTCTCTATCGCAGAATCAATTCCCTTGGTTCGAAATATCATTTTGCATGAAAAATACGGAACTTCCAGTTGAAATAAATATTATCCTCGCTTCAAATAAATATTTATGATCATAGAAGTTATTTAAGACAAAGTAAAAACTTTCTTGAGCTACAAAAAATTTTTTAACTCAAAAAAAATTTTATGGTTCAAGAAATAATCCATGTAAAGCTACTTCAGTTCAGAACGGTATTAAAATCAATCTTTAAATATTTTAAAAACTTTTTGGAGGAAACAATTTTTTCACGAAATTCTTGGAGTACCCCATTTTGCCCCTTCTACCTGGATGGGCTCTCCTTATAACAGCTCTCCAGAAAATAGTATCTCGAAAATTTATCAGCTCTTTAATTGTTTGAGTGAATTTTAATGAAACATTTATTTTTTAACAAACTTTTTTAAAATATTCTATTCTTCAACGCATTTAAGATTATGAAAAAAATAAATTTACGAAAATCGAAATTTTTTTGAGTATAGTCAATTTATAAACTTCAAAATTTTACATTATTACCATTTGTGCTTGAAATTTTTATGGTAAAAACCTTTTAAAAAATCATGATTCTCAATATGATTCTAATAATTAAACTTTTCTCAGAATTTTTTTTGAAAATCTTAATGTATCTAGATAAATTTGGAGCAAAAATTTTATTTTTTGTACAAGTTCAACAAAATTAATTTTCATGAATTATATTATTGATGAGAATATCAAAATTGTTACCCTTCAAGTAAGAGTGTTATAACTGTTACGGTTAGTTTAGATTCTCAGTGAACTGAAACATAATTATAATTACGTAACAAAAACAAGATGATGAGTTATTATTGGATTAAAATTTTATAAAAATTAATTTCTCTAAATTTTTTGAAAATAAAATAATTTTATTTGGAAAATTAAAAAATCGACAATTTTTGCATGCCTTCAACTCGAACGTGTGAAGATATACTGTATTATTTTGATAATTGATAATATTGCGTTATTTGATTTTTTTAAATAAAAAATTTCTACACAAAATCTCAATTGTAGTCGATAAAAAAAAGTTTGCTTTTGTTTTGATTTCAACAAAAAAATTTTAAAATAAGGAAGGATTTAAAAAAAATTTTTTTTTCTTAAAAAAAACCCCCCTTTGCTCCAAAAACTTTACTAAGTCCCAAGATATTTTCCAGTTCTACCACCACGATTTTATAATAACAAATAAAAAATACATCCAGAACCGAAACAGTTTGTTGAACGAGTTCGATAATTGCAAATATTCACTTTATTGTAACAAATGATTAAATGCGCTTGCGTTACCCGCCGTAGCATTTATTTGTAAAAACTTGTTGCGATGAGTTGTGAGTCGTCGACATACATCACACACGAGACAACGCAAGTGTTGCGACCATCTTATATCATACATCATACAAACTAATTTTTTTAATTGATTAATTAATTTAATACTTAAAACTAATAATATTTCAATCACTTCGTCAACCTTAACTAAAAGTTACAATATAATAAATTCTTTAACTGACCAATTCTAAATAAAATATATCAATATTATATGCCAAGCATATATTTTTTAACAAATATAAACTTATTTATAAATTCATTAAAAGTTAATAGTCTAGTTTATATTAACCTGAAAAAATAAATTTAATTAATAAGTAAAATATCAACAGCAAGTTGCGTCAAATGCCTTAAAAGTTATTATTATGATATAATAATATGTTTAAAGGTTATGTGATAGTTTTTTAAAATTTTGACTTTGATAAAATTTTTGCCATAAAATATATTACTAAAACGAAAATAAAAAAAATGTTAAAAGTTTCCTGGTTAGTTGTTCTTATTTTTGTAATTGGAGTTTATACTCGTAAGTATTTTTTAATTTTAAGATTATTATTTTTATTTGCATGTTTTATTCCATAAATTACAATATTTTTAATTATTATTAATTAAAATATTTCTTTTAGCAAAAAAAAACTGTGCTGACTTTTGATAAAAAATAGCATTCAAAGTTTAAATGTCATCATTCCAATGTCATAGGAAATTGTTAAGTTTTATTCTAATGATAAGAGTTTTTTTTTTTTATTTTTAGGATGATTAAAAAAAAAAAAAAAAAAAGATAAATCTTTTAATAGAGAGCGTATCGTTGTTATATTTTTTTAAAAAAATAGTGTAAACAAAAAAAATTACAATAAAAATCAGAAGTGATACGTGAATTATTAAAATAAGAGTAATGAAAAATTATTTTAAGAATATAAAGCGATGCCAGAAGAAAATAAATATGAAGAGCGACTGTAAATAAAAATAAATAACTAATAGACAAGTAAAATCAATTGAGAGCGTTACTAGCATTAACGCGTCGTCATTTGTAACAATGTGATTCGTGGTCATTTATCGTTGTACAAAATTGCTTTGTCCGTTTATTCACTCTACCGAGTCTCGACCCCTATTTATGTTATATACTGACATTACTATCATCTAACATCCCCTCAACCTCAGTCATACACTCAACTTAAACCATATTCCAAGCTTACACAAGCTCAATCGTCCAATCATCTACTTCCGTTTCTCATTATATTACTTACACCGATAACTATGATTTTATTTAATTATTTGTTATCTTTTTTTTATTATTCGTGTACTTTCCCGTTCATATAAACGCTTTTGTACTGTTATTAATATTTATATTGACAACTAGCAAAACCTGTTCACTTCGTGCAATAAATAATTATTGCTTCCTTTCAAAACATAATGAAATTTATTTAATTTTAGACATACGCAAACTTTACTAGCAATGTTGAATATTCAATTATTCAGTCAATTAATGATTAAAAAATTTTTCGATCGTAAAGCACTCTCTAATACTTGGAATGATAAGTCGTGCAAAATCGGATTTTTTTCGAATATTATTGGTAGGTCTAAAGAACCTTTTAGTTTGAATTTTTTTTACCAGGCATGACAAATGAAAATGACTCAAGTGAATAACTTTTAATGGGTTGCTCAGCAGATTAGTTATCAGAACTAATTATTATTATTATTATTATTTAATTTTTGTTGTTCAAAACTTTATTAATCTCTCATGAGTTTATTTTGTGTAAACTAGTAAAAAAAAAATCTTTAAAAGTTGTACGTACAAACAAAACCTAGGAGCCAGTTTTTTAATCTGGGATTAAAATAAAATTATTATTGCCAGTAAGGTAAAAAACCCAGTTATTGCCACTGGCTTAGTTATTGATACTTGCAATTTTATTTTAATTAAAAAAAAACAACAAATCAACTCTAATAAATTAATGAATATAATTTTTGAATGATAAATTTTAATATAATTGGTTTTTTGATGAAATTTTATTTTTTCAATTAGAATAAAATTGCCAGTGTAAAACAACTAATAGGCCAGTGTCAATAACTGGGTCTTTTACCTTATATAAATTTTACATTTATTTTTTTGGAAAAAAAAAAAAAAACTACCATGATTTATTAATATTTTGTCTATGTCTAGTTATTATGATTCAAAAATTTTAAAAGTTAGCCTATTTTTAAAGTATGAATATTTTCTGTGAGTTATAAAAAATGTTATCTTAATTAGAAGTGTAGTTGATTAATTACAATGAAACAAAGATAAAAATTTTACAGATTTACACATTAGTACAGATAGAAACATAGATAAAATTAAATTTTATTGGCGATTTTTAGTATTTTTATTTATAAAAAGTTGAAATAATTTTTTGTTATCCTGAAATATTGAAAGTAATAAAAAATTCAAGGTTTTTGAAGTAAAAGAAAAATTATATTTTCAGAAAATATATATGCTAAGGAAATTTTTCTCGATAAATAACAATAAGGAATACTTGATAAGCATTTATTTAACCTTTTGAACTTTGTAATGAACCCATAGGTTCAGCATATAGTAGAATATTAATGTTTGTTATTAAAGTGCGTAAGTAATTTTATAAATATATATATACAATGTTGTCGTTCTCTGAGTATATTTAATTGTAAGGTTTATTCATTATTATGACTGGCTTTATTCTTATCAGTTCAAAATAACTTCAAGAATTGATGACTCACTCTGGTTAGATACAATAGTCTGTTGTTAATTTTCTCTAAATAATCTGTATTATCTTAATTACTTGAAATTTACTTTAAAAACTTCGACTAAGAAAACTAAAATATAAAAAACAACATTGTAAAAATACTCTACAATTGCTTGAAAGGATGACTCATTATATGTTAACTGAAATTCGAACTTAAATCATAATTCATAAAATTAAACCTTGGGATAATTCTGAAAATAGATTATTTAATATATTTTTTTCTAATTTTTTTTTCCAGAAAATGTTACCAAATTAGGAAAACCATGTGACGGTAATCATCTACCAGTTGGTTGTGGCGTTAACCAAGAATGTGTGTTCAACACAAACAAAACGTTTCGTTGCTACTGTGCACAAAATTTTGTCGAATCTGATGGCGAGTGTTTAAAAATATCGACAACTGCTGCTGCATCTATTGATCCAGCGGATCAGCAACATAATAAATCATCAGGTATTATGGAAATTTTTTTATTATCACCATCTTTTATTATTATCGGTAATTAAAAATCTTTTTATAATTTTAGTCATGACATTAATAAAAAAATCAATTTCTGAAAATGCATTTTCTTCGTTGAAAACTTGAATTTTCTTTAATGAAATTTTTCACAAATATGCGTATAAATATTCTGAGAGAACTATTGAATATTTGAATACATTAAAATATTTTTATTTTAAAATGTGACTCTATCATAAGTCTTGAGTATTAAATTTTCAGTTGAAGAAAAAATCGAAAGTTAATAGTAGATCGACAATTATTTTATTATATTTTTTTTTTAATATTTTATTCTGTAGATCACTTAATAATAATATTTGATGATACTATGAAAATTATCGTCGCAATCAAAATTTATTAAGTTAAATTTAATTTACAAATTTTAATATTACAAATTTTGACTTAAAATTTCAATGGTTTTTTTTTTTTTTTTTAACTATCACTTGTCTTCTTAAATTCTTCTTAAATTTTACCAAAAATAGAATACCTGATTTGAAAAAAAAACTTTCCTCATTTTTTCTTTCTACTATGAAATCTCCGTTCTTTTTTTTATGATCTTTCCAAATTTTTTTTTTAATTATTCTATCCTTTATAAAATTTTACCAAAAAAAGTGAATTAAATTGAATTTTTGATTTTTTATAACCAAACATATAGATATAGAATCGCGATTGTAAACAATTGTCAAAATTTCCTTCAAATCTAAGCGTAATAAGATTGTTCAATTAAGAAATTAGTAAAGGATAATTAACAAAACATAACACAACAAGTATAGAATTTTTAAACTAACTACTTTATTATTAAAACATTATTAGACGAGTAAAAGCGAGCTTTTGCATTCATTAAACTTTTACTTTTTGTATTACAATTTACAAAAAAAATTCCACTGTATTTAGACATGACCTTGAATATAATTATTTATAATCAAGCCTACATGTGTTATTATCAATCATTATTTCTGGGAAAAAATACAAATACAAATAATAATTGATAACATTTATTTTTAATGCATCGCTTTGAAAGTTCCTGCAAATTTTAGCTTTTAGCTAGTTAATATGAAACTCAAAGTTTTTACTTCAACAAAAAGCAAATGGTCTTATTTAATAATAATTAACACTGTATAAATAATAATTCATTTTTAATTTTCAGGTAATTCAGTCACCATCGGATTATTAATACCAACAATTCTAATAATTGTTGGTGGTGTAGGTTTTTGCTGTGCAAGACGATACCGATTATTACCATGCCGACAAAATACTTACGGTAATGTTTTGGTAACAAGGGATGAAGATGATAATGATGATGATCCACCTATCGCGTAGAATATAAAAAGACTGATATAATTAATATGTTACGGTTTAATGAAAATAATATAATTTTTTGTATGTATCTTTGAAATTGTATTAATTTAATTACAAAATTTTTATATTTTTTTAGTTAAGCAAAGTTAAGTGCATATCATAAATAAGATAATGCATTAAAAGTTGGGCATTTTTTTAACTGGAAAAGAAGCTGATTAGTCACTTTCAAGCCATTTTTATACAATTAACATAAATGCTGTATAAATAAAATGTGTATATCTAATAACTTTTATATGTTTATAAAATTAAAAAAACAAAAGAAAGCCAAATGTGTAAATAATCGACTAATGTTCGTATTTATATACTTTATTCTATTGATAATAACAGTAATATAATAAAAAATTACTTTTAAGGGGACGAACTAAACGACAGAAATTAAAAACTTTATACTTAAAAAAAAAAAAATAAAACAGCTGTGAAATAAATTTGAATTCGCGTTTGATGTGTGCAATTGTTTTTGCTCAAACATAAATGTAATCACTTTACCATTAGAATTGGAAATATTAAAAACGGAATTTATTCTTGCCAATTGTAAATCATTTTTAGCGAAAACTAAAATGAATAAATGTTATTTTGTATTTATTAATAAAAAACTTTTTTTTTTATTTATTTTTTATTTTCACAATCAACTTTATGAATTACCTTGTAATTATTTTATTGACTGAATTGTAATGCTTCTACAATTAAAAATGCACTTATGTAAGCATATTATTATATATATTATTTGAATATTCCAATAATAATTGAAAAAAATTATCTTTTAAATTAAAAGACACAATACTTGGAACAATAATATTTTTTTATATCATTAAATGTATTGGGTCACAAAGAGTCTAGACTTCATGGCCGAATAAAATTATATGTATGAACAATCAGACAATCGAATTCTTTGTAAGTCAGCTTTAAGTTCTCGTACTAAGACTGTAAATATTATTTATCAAGGTATGATATTCAACTCGAATTTCTATATTAAATTTATGACAATCAATTGGGTCTTCAATTTGAAAAATTTTTAAAATTAACTTGAAAATCTAAAAAGTTCTTTTTAAAATTTTGATAACAATTTACGACTAGATGTTAATTAATGAACTTGAATATTTTTTGTTTAATTAAAAAAAATTGAACTGATTGTTATTTAAAAAAAAACTCTGTACTAGTTTTAACATAGTTATTAATTCGTTTAAGAATTTTGAAAACTAATAAAATTTCATTAAATTAAAGAAATAAAATAAATTACATATTATCAGAAATTAAATATGTTCATAAAATTTAATTAAAAGTTAAAAAATTATAATATACTCTTTCATTGAATCTAGTTCTTTTACTAATTTTTTTCAATGAATTAGAAATGACATTTCTTATGTAATTTTTACCTTTCACAATTTCTTAAAAACTACTGAGAATTTAATGATTTTAGATTTCACACTGACGGCACAAATTTGTTTAGAAATTGAAGGTATAATATCTAAATTTATAATAAACGAAAACCTTAAATATGTTAAATTTTTTAATTGATAACTAATATCATAAAAGATTAAAAAAAAAAAGAAGATAAAATATTCAAATATATTTTATTCATGTTTTTTCAATAATGTAATTAAATATTAAAGCAACAAATACAATTAGTTAATTAATTAATGATTATCAATTATAATTATAAGTAAATTTTATAAGTATTTACATTTTTATGTATCACTATCGTTTTATACATAGTCAGAAAAAAATTAATATTATTAAATTATTGTCAACAATTAAAGAAAAAATAAAATATCAAGCTATGAAAAAAAAAAAACTAAAAAAAAAAAAAAAAAAAAAATCTACAAAATAGTGCAATTTTTAATCTATATAATCTTATTTCTTTCATATTAAAATAAACACTATGATTATACGTAACCATCATAATTTTTTGAATAATAATATTTTATATTGAAATATTTATTAAAACAAATAATTATTACTTATAATTATTACTCTTACGCAATGATTATTAACAAAGATATTTTCAATATTATAAAAACAAAAAGTTAATTAACTAATTTTGGTTCATAAAAACGATTGATTATTAAAATTTTCAATCGTTTGTTCATAATATTAATTCATTTGATTTATTATTTTAAACATAAAAATTAATTTTGTCATAGATATCTTAAATTAATATTTATCTGGATATCTAAAATTAGTTTCGGAGTGGATCTAAACTTTCCAATGAAAAATCATCAGTTCCCATTGATAATCCTCGACTAAATCCATCCTAAAAATTTTTAGAGTTAATATTTCGGTAAAAGATAAATTTTAAGCGTTAAAAGTGAAAATTAATAAGTAATTTATAATTAACGTACCTTCATCTCTAGCAATCTTTTGTCTAATAACCCAATAGCATTTTCTAGTTCTTGTTGACTCGGATTAGAAACTGAGAACGCTGCAAACTCTCCCATTTCAAATGGATCATTATTAAAATCGTTAGAAGTGCTGGAAAGCGGCAGTGGCGGGTTAAATGGAACACTTCCAAATAAATCTTCTTTAATGCCGTTTTGGCGCCTTGAATCTTTTACTTTTGGTGGAGGAGCAACTGTTAATTAATTTTTGATTAGTTTATTAATAAGTAACACAAAATTAACTTAGACTTCGTTTAAGAAATAAATATTTTATAAAATACATACGAAGTGGTGGAGTTGTGCCGTTTCCATTAGATGATACAAAAAGACTAGCAGATTGCCCATTTGACAAATTGTTATTTTGATGATTTCCAAAACCATTAGCAGTTGTTTCATAAGCTCGTGGATTAAAATCTTCTTCAAATTCATCCATCAATAAACCTTCAAGTTTAGTCCCAACAGCCGGAGATTGAATCGAAGGAGATGATTCATTGTTAGTTATAAAATCATCATCAAAAGCCTTATCAAAGTTTCTCGGTGGTACTGGTGGTGGTGAACGAGAGCCATTACCATTTGCATCGTTTTTAGCTTTCACGTGACTAGTGCCATTCAGTCGCGGTCCTTCAGGGGCTGCATCTGAGTTTGATAGTACATGCAGAATATCCGGGAGATTGTGATGTGCCAAATAAGATTGAACATCCGCCTAAAACAAACATTGAAATTATATTTTTTAAAATTATATTTTCATTCATTTGCTAAAATAAAGCCGTGAAATAATAATACTTTAATGCTTACTGAATTAAAAAAAAATATATATATATATATATATATATTCTTTCGCGGCTTTAATTAAAAGAATAAAGCCGTAAGGAACAGGATTTAAAAATAAATTATTCAAAACATGGTAAAAATAGTAAAATCAATTAATATAATTTTAACCTTTAATTCATTAGGCGTAAATTTGAGATTAGACTTTTTTTGTAAAATATTAAATTCTCATCAAAAGTATATCATTTCGAAATTTTGCAATTTTAAAAGTTTCAAAGAAAAAATATATTCTTGAAAATAAAATTAGAAAATTATAATGCTAGATCTGTTATTATTAATACCAAGAATTCAATCTTTGACAATATGTTTTTTTATCATTTTGTAATCAGTTAATTTTTTAAATACAGTGTAAATCACTTATTTCCTAGTCCAAAGATCATTTACATTCATTAATATTAAAATAAAATTGAACAGTAGAGAAGACTTGTAGTTAAATCATAATTAACTATAGTTAAATCATAAATAAACTCACCGAGCCTTTTATTGCACATATATCTTGCAATCTTTGTCGATATGTATTATTTTCATGTTCTAATCGTCGTATTTTTTGTTGAAGCACCATGCATCGTCTTTGTGTCTCAAGATCTTTCCCGGATGTTTCGAGAAATCTTCTGTAAGCTAATCCAAACGCTTGACCAATTGTCAACGTTATCTCTTCAGCTAATTTGTCACTTACGAAGACAAAACATGTATGCCGCTCGGCGTCTTCTTCTTTCGCAATAAAACTAAAAAATTTTTTCTCGCCTTTATCATCTGCGCAGTAAGATATTCTGTGAAGTGGATATTGATGCAAAATATGCTAAAAATAAAATAAAATATATGATAAAAAATATTTCGAAAATCTTTAATTACCCAACAATCCAAGGTTGCAGATTTAAAAATAAAATGATTTAGGATTTAGTGAAATGACTTACCTTTGGTGTTGTTTTTGTTTTTGGTTCTTGGATCGCAACACCGTCAATACTAATTGTTAACTCAACTTTTGGTGTTTTAGTGCCCTCACTTTTCCGTAATTGTTGATTAAATTTTAGCTTACATATTGCTTCTTTCACTACTTCTATTCCTTTAGGTTGATCTACTTCAGTACTTCCTAAATACTGTAATAAAATAACTGTGTTTTATTTAAAAATATAGCAAATAATTGAACATTAAAATAATCATAATTTTAAATTAGATATTCAAAATTTTTTGTGGATATCAAATAGATTGTAGCCAGCCAGTATTATTAACATGAAAAAAATAAATTGAATAAACATTTCATCAAAAATTTTAAATAATTTTTTTAATTTCAACAAACTAACACATAGTTATAAATGAAAAAAAAAAAAAAAAAAAATTTAATAAAAATAGTATATCTATTAATTAAATACGGGGTCATAAAAATCTCACACTTATTCAGAATTTTTTTTTTTCATGTAAATATTATGTGTTATATCCATTGTTATTTTTATATTCATATAACACACTGGTGGCTTTCACGAATGTTTTTACAATTGTGAGAAATGGGACAAAACATCTTTCGTAAATTATTGGTGTTTTTTTTTACTTTTTAACAATTGTATATTTGTCAGTAAATATTATTTTATTAACTGTATATTTTACTTTTAGATATAACAAACGACACAGACGTCATTAAAGTAAAGTTTTAATTAATTACCTTGACTAGGTATGCTATATGACCTTTCTGAAGTGCATCAGGCGGATGGATCCAATTTCTATTGGTTCCTAATTAAAAGTCATGTAAATTAATTGATTAGCTTCTTTTTTTAGTTTTTCAGTTAAAACTGGGAAAAAATAAACTTACCTCCATTTTTACTCGACTGATTTTTGTTGTTTGTTGTTTGTGCCCATTTTAATAGCGTGGAATTTCTCATATTTAGTTACTTGTCAATCCCCTGAAACGAAATAGAAATTTTTAATTTATTAAATATTCATGGACAAGTTTTTAGATATTGATAGAAAAACTAATTTGTTTCAAGAGAAATAATCTTTAATTAAGAAAATTATTCTAAAAAAAATCGACTGTTTGGTTTATAAAATAATATTCTTTTGGTTCCTATTAATTGGATTAAGATCTTCGTATCTTCTATTAAAAAGTATTGGAACTTATTATCAATCTATTATTTTAAGTCCATATACCATCAAATTTTTTAATTAAAAATAATCCTTTTTTTTTTTGAGAACTCTGCTCGAGATTTTTGGTTTAAATCTTAATTTAAAAGTTCTATTAATTCAAGAGTTAATTTCTTGAATTAAAAAATTCTTAAAGTGTGACAATCGGCTGTTTTGAAAATACGTTTCTTAAATCAAGATATTTTCTCTTGAATCGGGATAGTTTTTTTTTATCAGAATAAAAATTATGAAGAAAATATTTTTACTGAATTGAATCATTTTTTAACAATTTAAATAAATATTTAATCTATTAAACTACAAAATAAATCTTTTTACCATCTTTAATTAAAGAGAGCTTTGATCATTACTCATAACAGTTGTAATATTGGTATTATAAAATGAGCCATTTAAATTGATATTATATTCTAGGTCAATTCATTAAAGCACAAATCTAAGTCTACTTATGAGTCAATCCTATTACTATCGACATCATTTCAACTATAAAAAAATATGTATAATATTATCTTAAAAAAAAAAAAAAACTAGAGCAATAAATGAAAATAATGATAAAAAAATTAATAGAATATCGAAAATTTTTCTATTAATATTAAAAGTTATTTTGTTATATATATATGCACATTTATTATTATTTATTATAATTCCGTAATTGTAACTAATTATATCGTATATAAAATAAATCAGTTGAGTTATTTAATATGCGGAGGAAAAAGAAACAAAACAAAGAGGTCGGCCATGTGGGTTGGTCGTGTCGTGCGAAAGATACGCCGTTAACAAGAATACAGAGACTATTCAACAGGTAATGCACAAATAAAATTACATGTATGCATTATATACCATTTATACTATTCATAAATCTTTTTATTCAAGAAAATTTTTTGTACTTCCATTCTCAGCTCGACAATTTTGTAATTCCTATACATGTCTACCTTTTTATGAGAATTAAACTTATAAAGTTTTTTACGAGAATTAAAGGTAATAATAAAAAAAATAACTTTTAATTTTAATATTTATTACTTTATAGAATTGTTTCTTTTCGGTAAATTTATTACGATAAAAATAAATATAAAATATATAAAAATATTAATTAATAACAACCATCTACTGTCTTATTGTTTAATTTCTATTTTTTTTAATCTAGTGAATTATTATAAATATTGAAGTAATTATTTTTTCATCAGCGATAACTCAGTGAAAAATCATCGGATATGACTTACTGATAAATCGACATGTATTATAACTTATTGTTATTAGCTAATTGAAAAAAAAAAAAAATCTGAAAAACAATTGACCCTGCAGGCCATCCCTACAACCTCCCGCTATGTACGTGTCCAAAACGCTCAGTAAATTTTTTAATCCTAAGTTTCGAGCTCGAAAAATTAGTGATTGTAAATACATGCTTTTTTGAAAATTCTAAATTGCGATATCTTCCGACCGAATCAATCATTTTTGATAGGGCTTGCCACATTCGAAGCAGTTTTTGAAACACTTCAAAACATTTGAAATACTTTTATGGAATTTTTTAAAATTAAATATCTCTCTAACGATTTGGTTTTTTTTTTTGGTTTTGAAAAAGGACTTTATTTTATAAATGAGGAGCTTATTTTCAAAAGGGTATCTTTTGATTTTTGATTAATCGAGACAAAAAACTAGCTATCTTCAATTATAAATATTTGTATTGAACTTTTTTTAATTTAGCTATAAAGTGCAATCGGTTATGAAGCTGCAATTCGATTTTCATTTATAAATGTTCATAATTCTCGAAGTAATTAGTATTTAAAAGTTCAGAAAACTGGTAATTTAAAATATGAAAAGATACCCTTTTGAAAATCAGCTCCTCAAATATTCTCTTATACATTTTTTAAGTAATAATATCCTTATAATAACTTATTCGCTAATATAATTTTTAATTTTTGTATTGTCATCATATGATGCTCTTTACAAAAAACAGGAACTGAAAGTAGAAATATTTTCTTAATAATATTAATTAAACTTAACAATTCGAAGTTTTTCAACTATTTAAATAATAAATAATAATATGCTAAGCATTCGTGAAAAATCAAAAATATGAAAAAAAAAAAAAAAAACCAATTGCAACAGTTACTGGCCTTTTGAGGCTTAAAGTAAGGGTAAGAAGGAGAAAGGGTAAAGGAATCTCGAACGATTTGGCCGATTTTGATGCGGTCTACGGCAATCGACGCAGTTTTTTGAACACAAAAAAGATTGCCTTTTACCCGTAAAGTAATCCGGTCAGAAATTTCGAAGTAATTAAAAAAAAACATTTTTTTTTCTAAATTTTTCGATAACCATTTCTATACGCAGTAAAACCAATAACTTCTCGATTTTCGAAAATTTTCAATTTTTTTAGCGGTAAGTTAAAAATATGGCCTTGTAAACCATGTTTACTGAAATAAATACAAAGTTATTTTTTGAGTGCACTACGATGGAAAGATTTTTACTTTATACGTAATAAATAAAAAATAGTTTTCATCTGATTACATCACAAATATTTATTTTCATCACGTCTTTTTGAAACCGCCCACACACATTACTAAAATAAAAGTTCCACGTCGTAAACCTCTTTTTTGCAACAATTTTAAACATAAATAAATTTTATAAAAAATTTAATACCTGCAATTATACAATAATCATTAAATACAATAATTTGCGTCTCATAATGATAATTTTGTAAACAAAACAAATTAATTAGCATCAGCTAAATTAAATACAACAGTTACTAAATAAGAAACTTGGTAATGACTCACATTAGAATGGATGCTTAAGGACAAGTAAAAAAGAAATATCTTTAATCGTGTAGCTCAATTTATTGCGTTGTAATTTTATTTTAAAAATACATTTCAATTAAAAAATCTTATTAATTCGCTTAATATTAATGATCGAAATCAAACTCTAATCCTTACCTCCGACTTTATCTCCAAAGAACAAAAAAATCTAACGAACATAGTAATTACTGGTAATTTTATGCATTTATCTTCAACAAGAATACTATTTTAAATTCTTCGTGTTAATACCGATGTAACAATTTTCAAGGTAAAATAAACTAGTATCTCACTACATCAACTTTTCTCAGCCTTCATAACTATAACCACTCAATGAATTAATAGATTATACTCATTTCTTATTTGCAATTAAAATTTTTTCTGTAATCTTCATAAATCTCATCTTAGATATATTAAGTCTTTGATCTATATTTTATAGATAAATAATTATTTAAGATAAAACCAGTTTTCTATATTCTCAATATTTCATACCAGTTCAATGTCATTAACAGTACTTTAATACTTTTTAATTATTATATAGAGCATTTATATAATAAAAAAGAATAAGTCTTTTAAGAATAAAAATTTCATGTTTTAAATCAAACAGTGCAGCTAAATTATATTATTTACAGGAGCTAAAAAAAAGTTATAATTGATATTGGAGAAAGATGTTGAGAAAGGAATCGGCATTTTTTCAAACGGATGCGGTCGATTAGAAAATGGCGGATCAGGTCAGAGCCCGAACTTTCTCTCATGACTACATATATAAATTATAAGTTCTTGCCTTGAAATATTTATCTAGTCACTCTAAATTTATCTTTATTATACTTTCGTTCTTAAAAAATGATCTTAACCACTGTTTGTTTTATTTTTAAATAAATTTGAGCTCAAAAATTGGAGCTGGAGATAACCTAAAAGTTATTATTAAAAATTAATCATTATTTTATCTAAAAGATTTTGTATCTTACTTTCATTAATTACTTTTCTGTTAATGTTTTATTTTATTGACAAGTTTTAATTTCATGTAATTACCAAAAAAGAATTTCTGATACACAATTGGAGTAGTTTTGAACATTACATAAATATGGTTATGATGAAGATGATGAAAACACTTGAGCCCCCTAGTTTAAACCAGTCAGCACTTGTAATCGTTGAAGCTTTTGTATTAACTTCACTTTAAATGACAAATTACAATCGACACGACTATTCAATTTGAGGTTTATTAATGTAAGCAGTTACATATCTTCTTTGAATTTTATTGTTTGATAATCTCTACTTTTGAACAGGTTCAATCAGACAAAAAAAATTATTTTTAAATTACTTTTATTTTCAATGTCAAAAGTAATAATTTTTGAGCTTTTTTGATTTACATTTTTTTCATCTTAATAAGTAGTATGAAGTTTTTGCCACGAAATTGATTCTAATAAATTTTAAAGTTTTAAAACTATCAAATGATTTTTCATTCATTGTTGTATAATCTTTGCAGCCTATTTTTATATAATTAAAGAATACACAATTTCAAATGAATGACATTTCTAAAAACGGTAAATTTTCATAAACATAAAATTATTTAATTATTATTCTCTAGATGAGTTCAACATGCAATATATATTTTCAAAAGTTTAATTATAGTATTGACATTTAAAATCGTACAAAAAAATGTGAGTATGAACAGCCGACGTCAGACAATTTTTTTTAAACTTTTCTGATTAACTTTAATCACTACAAAAATAATCTTAGAAAAAAAGCCCTTGGAAATTTTCAAAAAGTCTTTCTGTACAATTATATACATTTTTTTCTACTAAGTGAAAAATAAAATGAAGACATTTTTTTCCAAGCCTTTTATATTAAATAATTTTATAAAAATAAGAACTTTTTCAGTAATTTAAATTCATAAATTTAATTTTTTTCAAACTCCAAATTTTTTTCCGAAAATTCAAAGGCAATAAAATAATTAAAAAAAA